ATAATATGTCCCAAAAATATTACCCGTAATTCATTGATGATCCCCCCTCATTATTTTTCTCCTCGTTTTCAAGTATCTCCTCGTCTGGGAACGAGCATATTTTAGTGTACCTCATTTCTGCGGGCTGCTTCGGTCTTCTTGCTGGTGAAGCAGTGCGAAAACAGGCGCATCAATTAGTCATATATATAGGAGGCAGATTGAAGACCCTTCGGGATCTCGAGAACTGGAGGAGGGGCAAGGAAGCCAAAGAAAGCAAGGGAACCGTGAAATGATAAAGTTCTCAATTTCCAGGGCGCATCGAGCTAGGGCACCGTTTCGCGGGCTGGCTGGAGACATGGTCCAGCTCAGTCTGGATTTTATTTGCTGCTGGCCTGTTATTCGTAAGTCCTGCGTAGACAATGGTTTGTTTTTTGGTTCTTCAGAGTTTCACTGTACTCCGTAGGCTGGAGTAGCTTTAGGCATTTAATGGTGGCGGCGGCTCGACGGCGCTATTCGCTCCCGCACAAATCTCGTCACGCACAAAACTGGCTGTTGTCCCACTCCCGCCCGTATTTTTTCCCTCAACCTCCTCACCACCAACTCACCACCATCCGCACAACACTGCACAGCAGCTGTTTCAAACTCCTATCCCTCGATTCGTTCAGTCTGTGCCGACTGCATGTGTATTTGTACATATAAATATATAAATATACTCGTCTAGCCCATCGCCCGCTCCCGATCGTCTTGCTAAGTCAAGTGTCTGCTCGAAATGTGAGTTTCCCTCAAAGCCGTTCCCTTCTAGGAGTCTACGACGGGCTCCCGTCTTGTGGCACGTGCAAAACAAGTCCGTGTGACTGCGTGCTGTTCTTGATGCGATGATTTCTTCCCCGTTGCACTGCGTTCTGCTGCCGCTCTTTCTGAAGAGTCTGCCATGCTAACGGAATACGTGCAATTCACTCCAGCCCTATCTTTGCCCACCCCGGACCAATTTTTTCCTCAGGAGAACCCACACCTTTGGGACGAACACCCCAAAGGTATCTTGCCCACAACGGCTTCCGAAGCCGCCGAGCCTTCTTTACGTCCTCCCTTTCTCCTCCAACCTTTCAGCAGCGTTTCCATCTTCTTAACGCACTGGGTTCTCTCCCAAGCAGCTCTCCGGATCCCGTCGTTTGTGTTCGTTGATCCCTCAGCGCACAACCTCCTCGTTCTCCAGAACATCAAGCTGCCGCATAGGACTTCTCTACAGGTTCTTCCTCTTCAGGAGGAGGAGTCGAGGAGGCTAGGTCCAGTCAATTTCGATTGTGTTGAGACATTCCGACCGCCCTAACACCAATTATTCATCATCAACTGTTAAAATATCCATCAATCCATCATAAAGGAAAGAATAGTTTTTTATATACACACAAATATATATCTAACCGTTGGCATCCTACAACCCACCAAATACCCACTACCAACTCGACATCTCGCTTTTTGGATGGTTATGGCCCCTTTTGCCTTCGTACCCCATGACATATATGTGAGCCGAAATTATCCTGACGATAGTAATAATTACAAGACTTCCAACAATCATGGCGGGTTCGATTTGTTTCAAGCCCGAGAAGCATCCAAGGATCTGATCTTCGAGATCCTGAAGGAGAAAGTTGCAAAGATTGATATTCACAATTGCCACCCTGGCGAGGAGGACCCTTTTTATATTGCAGATTTGGGTCAGGTTTACCGCCAGCATGTCCGCTGGAAGAAGAATTTGGGACGCGTGAAGCCTTTTTATGGTATGTTTAGTCGTTTTTTTCCTACTGCGTTCCATTTATTTGAAACCACAGGATCCTGACGAATTCATTCCCAGCTGTCAAATGTAATCCTGACCCTCAAGTCTTGCGTCTCATGGCGAACCTGGGCAATGGTTTCGATTGTGCGTCGAAAGCAGAGATCGACTGTGCCCTTGGTGCTGGTGTCGACCCGAGCCGCATCATTTATGCGCAGCCGTGCAAAACCAAGTCCTATCTTCGCTACGCTTCCCAGGTGGGTGTCAAGCAGATGACCTTTGACAATTCTGATGAATTGTACAAGATCAAGGAAATGTGCCCCGAAGCAGAACTGTATCTCCGCATTTTGACGGATGACTCCGCCAGTCTGTGCCGTTTGAGCATGAAATTCGGAGCTTCCCTTTCCATTACGCGCTCTTTGCTTGAGCTAGCCAAGGAACTCAAGCTCAATGTCATTGGTGTCAGCTTCCACGTCGGGTCAGGAGCTGAAGACCCTAGGTCATTTGTCAAGGCTGTGGAGGATTCCCGCTACGTATTTGACCAGGCTGCTGAAGTTGGGTTCGATCTCAAAGTCCTCGATGTCGGTGGGGGATTTTCTGAAGATACCTTTGAGCGCTTTGCATCTACCCTCGGTGACGCTCTTGATGAGCATTTCCCTCCCCATATCCGCGTGATCGCTGAGCCTGGACGCTACTATGTTGCTTCAGCGTTCACACTGGCTGCCAACGTAATTGCACGCCGCGACGTCAGTCTGGAAATGTCTGACTCCGACTCCACGAGCAGCGCCACCGAGGCCTACATGATCTACCTGAACGATGGTGTCTACGGCAACTTCTCTAACATCATTTTTGATCACCAGCATCCAGTGCCGCAGATCCTGACAATGGAGAGCCCAGTCTGCACACCCATCGAGTATTCAATCTGGGGTCCGACTTGTGATGGTATTGATCTAATCACACAACGCATCACCCTCCCGGGAGCCCTGGACATCGGCAACTGGCTCTATTTCGAAAACATGGGCGCGTACACCAAATGCAGCGCAACGTGCTTCAATGGGTTCACCGATAAACACGAAGTCATTTACATCTCTACTGAACCGAGTGCTACCGCTTTACTGGGGTACTCAGACTGACTTTCAGAACAGTGTATCGGCTAATCGAACCAAGAAAAATTAAGTGGAAGAAGGCGGAAGCAAGCACTGTGGAGCGGAAGTGGCTACTCTTGTTTTCTTATATTCTACCATGGGGAACTTGAGCATTTTTTTGTGGGGAAAGCCTCCAACTAAAATCGATATTTCATATATTTCTATTTAAAAACAGACTTAACCTTTTGATTCTTCCCAATTATCTTGATATTTTTCCTGTTAGATCTCTGGACGATATACTTTGTTTTTGCTTGTTTTATTCTTGTTCCATCCGAACCATTTACTTTTTTTCTTTAAATAATCATAGTTAAGTTTCAGGTACAGAGAAACAATGGAGTTTCGCATTCTATTTATATTCTCCTTTTGCTTTTTCCGTTTACCCTGCCCGCATCCTTTATGCCTTCTATAGAAATAATTGCGTCTAAAGCACGGATAATATATTATTCACGGGACAAGCTCACCACAGAAGCAAATAGTGGCTAACTAATCACGTCCTTCCAAATCTATCACACTACCGATTTTACTGGCAAAGTGTTGGGGGTTTGGATTGGTTCATCCCCATGACGCTGATGGTGGCCTAACACAAAGCTATTTGTACATATTATTTATTTTAACAAACATCCAAAGAAATAGAACATCCACTTAAAAGTGGTTTTCTTTTCCACCATCTAACGAGCAGGCTTTTCAAGAGGGTGATGGAAGCGCAATGACTTTGCACATTTTCTTCCCGCCCCTTACTGTCCTCCTACCACCAGGGTATTCAACGAACTACACAATTCCCAATTCAGAAACGCTTCGCATACTGATTTGCATCCACGTTTTAATTCTTCATGGTATATCGTAAGGTACTTAGAGAGATATGTGGGCTCGTTGCAAATTGGTATTCCTGTCACGCACTGATTCTCTCAGAACTTTACCCCGCGATAAAGCTTCGTTTTTCTCACTCCTTCTAAACGACCCACACAGCAAGCTAAATTTTACGAATGGGGGATGGCATATATATCAGAAGGTAGATGCTGTAATACAATAGCGAGGGGGCTAATTGGGTGGGAATGGGGGACAAACTCAACTTCTTAATCTCATTAGGGAAGAGTAAGATGTTGTAGAAATGAATAATAAGGACGCATCCTTCATTTGATGTTTGAAAAATTTTGTAAGAGTATACCCGTACCCTTGTCCTTGTTTTGTCTATCCAAACTTCTATGAAATCCAGCTGCTTTTGCCTTCCAACATATAGAAAATTATATATGAAAATTATATACAATAGATGCAATAACATTAGCTTGAAATCGCTTCTCGTAGTATGTATGTACATGTACATACAGCAGGTAAACTTTCATATCTTTTCACCCCTCCCTGCACCTTGTCAACCTGTGCATCACAGCATCAAGCAAGCCGCTCCACCTTTGTCACTCCCCGCCTATTTTCTGCAGAGTCACCTGCGACCTCCAACAGCCCTTCACTCTCTAGTTTCCGCGTCCACTTGTGAGATTCACCTCTGGCAAGGATGAGTGTCATAGATGCAATTATGGCGCTTTCGGGAGGTACCGTTCTTGCGCCTTCTTTACTAGTTCTAGAAGCATTGCCTATGGAAGCCGGAGAGCGAGTATACGTCCATCGGCCAAACGCCCAGTTCAGGATGTAATTATGCGTCTTGATGGTGGCTGTTCCTCTGTCAGGTGCGACAGCTCCATCAACATTTCCATTTCCTTCGTCCCTTGTGGGTGCTAGTGTCGGTTTTGGTGTAGGCGCCTGAGCCTTTTCTCCTGACGAGTCTTCCGGAGGTGAATCAGCTGGGAATTGGATAATGCCTTTTATCCTGTAGACCTCATCCTTGGGCGCGGATAAGAGGAGCGTAGTGAATGCCTCCGTATTGACAGTGTCGGACGGCTGAGAGCTGGTAAGCGAAACCGAGAGCACGTCCACCTCGGACTGATGCTCATTTTCCCGAGGCTCACCAAGCCCATGACTATGCTCTTGCACATAAGCCTCCTTGGCCGCCGTATTATCAGTTCCGTTTAACAACACAAGATCCAATGAAGCATGTCCGCGATCAGATATCTCCTTGGCCAGCAACGCCCCATCAATTCCCAACAAGACGTCCTTGTCCACGAAACCCTTTGCAGACTTAACCCAGGCCGTGTCAAGCTCCAGATCTGCCACGCGGTCTAAACACACATCAAACCGGTCCTCCGGTACGTCCTCCCATTTATTGAAAATAATCAGATCTGTGTACTTCGCCTGCAACTTCGCCGTGTATGAGGTGTCATCGTAGCCCTCCCAGTTCTCCACGTCTATCACGCTGATGACTCCATCTAATACGAATTTGCCATCATTCTCACGCGAGATTCGGTTCACTTCCATTGCCAACGTGGCGGGGAATGCGCTGCCGCTCGTCTCAATGACGATCCGGTCTGGATTTACTTCATCACAGAGTTGGAGGAGGGCGTCGCCCAGTTGTCCCACGAGGTTGCAGCAGATGCATCCGTTGAGAAGCTCGCGGACGCCGGAAATGGAGTTTGCAGACGCTAATTGAGAGTCCACGGCCAGATCCCCAAACTCGTTTTTTAGAAGAGCTAGCCGGTAGTCTGGGGGGACTTGGGGGATCAGATTAAGGATGATTGTTGTTTTGCCCGCGCCGAGAAAGCCGGTGATTATGGTGACCGGAATGGGAGGCGACATGGCTGTTACTGCTGTTCGGAAGTGAGATGGAAGAGGGCATTACCCGTGTTTCGCAATCGAATTGCCGGCCATAGCAGTTCATTGACAACTTGAATTTTCAACATAAACATAGATTTCATGAGATGATGTCATGGACTCTCCTTGCCACTTGCTCAATCGAGCTGAGTCAGCAGACAATTATCGTTTCTGTTCCACGCCTCCAAAATGTAAAGCGCCTTCAAGGGTTCACTCAACCAGCTACAAGATGCCAAATTGGGTTAATGTACAGAGTACGTGAATCAGAAGCATTCTTGAAACCATATCAACTGTTCTAAACTCAAATAATATGATGTGGTTCTTCGTCCAACCTTTTTAAACCATGCCAGGTTTCAGCTCAAACTATTTCATATTTGCAACAGACAATAATCTGATGAATTAGTTGCCGTTTTTAAACCATTCCCGGGCTTGCAACTTCTGTGGAATTTGTCATGGCATGAACCCGGTCTTTCTCAAATCTTGAGCTTTTCGTCCTCGCCATAGTGGATGAAGATCGGAACGAAACCACAAATACTGTACTAGGACCCATTTGACTTCTCATTAACTCAAATTTTGCACGATTTTCTAGTGCTTTTAGAGCGATCATGTTGATTTCATTTACCCGTGCCATGATGGATGGAGAAATGTAGTAATGAGTACACCGGCGATTGAAGGAAACAGTCTTTCTTTAATTCTGCTATAGCCAGGACCACATCTGTGCAATATTCGTAATTCGGATATGCTGGAGGTGCATTCCTCAGAATATATTTACTTGTCTCTAGCTGACCTTTCGGTTATAAAATGGTATTTTCCCTGGCGCTTCTCTTTTTTTCGCTTCCTGTCTATGTTCATATCTCTGAAGAGTACCTCCGCTCCAATCAAAGAATATTATTTGCCCATGCTCTCCTTGTTCCAAAAAAGGAAAATCCCGCGTTTTAGAGAATCAATTCGGCCTATGCTTTTCACTCAGTAGGGACTCGATATGTCCACTGAGCCAATATCTCCTCAATGCCTCTACCGGGACATTTTTCGCACCATCAACCAAACCCAGGCAATTCTCCGCTCCACAAGAGCAGTGAAACGGCTGCGCCATCTCCCACTCGGTGCTTGGGTAGAAAAAACGCAGTTCTTCTCCGGCCGGAATGTCCCTCGTGCTCCAGACCTCAATTGCACCGGCAACAGGTTCTTCCAACCCGACGTCAGGTGAAGAAAGCGTGGACGTTACGAAGCGGACATTGGGGTCACACGAATGATTGCAGTACAGTAGATCCGAGTTCAATCTGATATGATGCGTTGCCGAGATTTGAACGGTGGAGTAATCCTTCTCTGATGCGAGAGTGGTGGACGTGTTTTCCGCGATGAGCGAATTGGCCGGGATATCCATGCTGGCAACTGCAGTGAGGTTGAAAGAAGGTCCTGTAGAGGCATCTGAGTTCGAGGCGAGAGCAGGTGAAGACCGGACTGCGATGGTATCTGGATGCGATGGCTGCCTCCATGTCTGCTTTACAGGCTGAGCCTTAGGCGTTCCCTGGAGCTGTTTCGTTGTCGTAACCGCCATGGTCCTTTTATAGGGGTGGTTTCAGTGGAAATGTATTGTGAAGATAGTTATGGAAGTATTTGAAGTTTGATAGGATATGATAGGGAACGACACTAGTCATCAGAATTTATTGACGTTGTTTTGATGGTAGGCTTTGCATTTCGTTCCAAGCGTAGGAAGGGGGAAGTTCGGATTTTCACAAGCCTTTCTGGCCATTTTAAATACGAATTCTTTTATATATATAAATATATATATATATATATATATATATATATATATTTTTTTTTTTTTTCAGAAAGCTGAGAAATAGTTCAACTTGCTTGGTCAAATCGGGCGATTTAGACCTGACCCGAGTTCGGAGCAAAGGATATTAAGTTTCCTGTTTCCACATTTGGAAATTTGCCTTAATGGCATATGTTCAGGGTAAACCCGGACGTAGGGAACATAAGAAGGATTTTGGCCTGCGAGTTTCCCTCCCTTGAGAGGGATTAAAGACAATCTCAATATTTTCGTCTTTCAGAACATCTAAGACGCAGATACTATTTCCTTAGCTTTAATTGTCCAAGTGCTCGGATTTAAGATTTGATTGGCAACTGAGGGCAGCGGGCGGAGGGCTCGCCCCATGGTTTTCATCAACATACTCAGGGTGGGTCGAGTTTTCATTGGAGGGGTAAAGTACAGTGCAACTTTCAAATCTCTCACATTCCTCATGCTGACCGTGGGGCTTGGAGTTTATCCGGGGTACTGCAGGTTGAATCGGCACAGCAGAATTTTCTAAATAGATGACGACAAAAAAGTTTAAAATTCGACTTGAAAGGGGAAAATCCCACAGATTAATGAGACAATAATCTCAGATTAACAAGTCATCTAAGTAGAATCTATACTGAGCTATGATAATGCAGATAACATAACGACGAAGGTAGGAGAAACAATCGGAAAACTAAGGCGCAGGCATTAGACAATGCTGAAACTCGCGAGGTTAAATTGGGTGATTGCAATCCAGCAAGCTTCTAACTTTATGATGCTCTTGCATGTGATGTTGGAATCGCATCAAAAACGAGTTGGATTCGCCAGTCCTCGTCTAGAATTTCGGATCGATAATGTTCTTGGATTAGGGCTAACAACCGGGTGGTCCAGATGTTGATATCCGCAGGGTTAACCTCAAAAAATGCAGAGGGCGGAGGCACAATGCCTGATCTGACGTATCCATCTGTTTTTAATAGTTCTTTATTTGGTATTGACGCTTCATCATCTTGCTTCGTCCAGGAAAGAGCGAGTCCATGGAGTGCAGATGCACTTGGTATCACCTCCAATGGTAGCTGATTTGTTAGTATACGTTTACTCTTAAAGCCCATTTGTGTTGGGCCAATTTTGGCGCATCAAATATTCCCTAGCATCTTCTGAACTCATTTTGGACGGCGAGATGTTATCTCATGTCTGGGAAGTTCCAGCTCTGGCAACTGATTGACTAAATGGGCTTTGGCTCTCCGGTATCGATTTTGATGTGGAGAACCTTGTGATATTTTAGCATTATTGGCTCCCGCCCATGAGTGTAAGGTCGACTGAGTTGAGATTTGCTGTTGCTGTTGTTGCTGCTGCTGCTGCTGTCTTTTCCTGTGGAGTTGGATAGCGGTTTTCTTCCGGTATTCGAAATCTAGTGCCTCAGCTATCATTTCGTGTGACGGAGAAGTTGGACGAGAAGTTGGACGATTGTCAGTCAACCTATGAATCCGATAATCTGGATCATCATCCTCCTCTTGGGAAATCGCCAATGGCTGACAGTGGTTCTTTGTGTTAGTATGAGCAGAGTTCAGATGGATACCTAGGGCATTTAGTGATGTGCGTGGTGATAGCCCTGCTGAAAAATCTCCATGGCTCAGGCTTGTGGTAACAGCATTGTCCTCTTTACCAAAGCGCCCTGCAATATCAGTTTCTGTAAGTTCATTTCCATCGGGTTCGCTTTGCTGTAGTATCCCCACAGCATGGCTTTCCTCAGTAGAATGACTAGGGGCATCTCGGCAATTTCTTATCCAGGCGTCCAGGCTGCCCAGCACCCCCGATGACTTCCTTTGTTTGCTTTTATGGCTAGCTGTGAGTTGGGGTACATTGCACAGTTCGCTCGTCTGTGGCTTTCTAACATCTGTTGAAGATTTGTCGTTGTCGCCTTCGACCAAACGCGTCTCAAGTGTTCGCGTAGAAACGGGCGTGGGGTATGGGGGGCCAGCAAACACAGAATTCGCCCCACAATTTTTTATCCTTTTTTCATCCAACCGAGAACGCCCATCCTGATACGCAGGGGTGAGGAGTTGAGAGTTTAAGTCACGGGACTGTGCGTCTTCCTTCCGGGGTGTTACATGTTGCCCTTTGGCAAGCAGCCATGGATTGGTCAGTAGGGAACTATTCAAAAGGCTGAGATTACTTTCGGCCGCTCGTGGACAGGCGTAAGTGTCGACACAACTTCCTGCTAACATATTGTCTTTCTTCGCCTTCGACGAGCTGGCACAAATGCATTCTATGGAATGGCAATCTTTTGTCGCGGAGCTCGAGATATGCCGAAATAATGGAGATTCCTCGACTTCGTGGTCACGTTGATTGTTAGCCGGCCGGCTGTCAAGCGGTCGTATCATCCGAGAGGATGACGGTTGGTTTTCGATTTGGCAGTTCCTCTGATGTGTATGTCTCGGCTTGGTTTCGCCATAAACGGTTTTGAATAGATTTCCTGCCATGGAGATCACTAGTTTCGAATCTTCAAAAAGAACATCATTTTTCAATGGCTCGACATTCACATCGTAGATGCCGGGACGGCAATGTAGATGTATAAAACAGAATGGATCCACTGGTGGTGTTTGGCCACTATCGCAAAGAGATCCAGAACGAATATGGGATTTGAACAGTTCGACTAGCTCCTTCGCAACGCCATTGGATGTTGACATAGGCCGTCTGTCAATGGAAACATACTGACCAGCATAATTAATTGCAGAGAAGTCTGACGAATTAGCCACGCGGATCATCGGTGACAGAACGAGACATCACTTACCAGAACAAGGTTTAGGGATTGTAGCGACAAGTCGGATCACTGGATGAATGCTTTCATTGCTTTCCACAGATTCTGACAAAGAATCATCTCTCTCATCTTGAATTTGCGGCCACGTTATTGTTGTGCATTGCGAAATTGCTTCCGCACCAATAACTCTTAACATTGCAGTGGAAACCGTTGGATGTTTGTTGGACGCATATATCCAGCTAGAATCATTTTTTCTCTTTAGGATTTTAAATGAAAGTCGAATTTCAGGGCGCGAGAGCACGTATGCATTCAAAACCTTCTTCATTCGGTTGAGTGTTTTGGAAGCACTCTTCAGCGCTCTCCGTTTCCGAACAGGAACAAATCTCAAGAACTCATCTACACGAACGGTCGTGCCTGTTGGATGAGAAGCTTTGGTACAGCTGAATGCATAGTCAGAACTGATCTACAAGAATACTTGAAGTATCTTTTGTTGGAAGCAGAGCAGACCTAATAAGTAGCCCGGTACGATCGTATTTCAAAGTTTCCCCAGCCAACTCTCCTGATACCCTTGTCGTTATTGCTATGTTACCGCACATCTCAGCAGCACTCGCGAGAGCCTCTCCTCGGAAACCCAAAGTGCTTCCACCGATATTTTCCAAATCATCAATACTTCGAAGTTTGCTAGTACAGCTACGTTTGCAAACCAGATGACGATCATTCGGATGGATTCCAGTGCCATTGTCCTTGACTTGAATGGTATCGAGTGTGTTAGCTGCCACCTCAACTGAGATGCAGGTGGCTCCAGCGTCAAGGCTGTTATCGATAAGCTCTTTCGCAAGGGCGCATGGGTCGGAGAGCACAGAGTTTGACCTTACTGCCCTGATAGTATCTGGAGGAAGTTGTGCAATCGACATTGTCCACTCTCATCACTAGTTAAAACAATACATGGAATGGCTTAAGGATGGCGTGCCCATACAGCACTGCAACTACCATGTATCAATTGTCAAATTTGTCGAAAATAAACATTTTATGGATTATAATACCGCTCCAGGATCCTATAAATGTCTTGTCACAAGGTGAAAGAGGTTAGATTAGAGTTGTATAGAGTTTATCACGTGCAGTGGAGTGCCCAACATAGTTAAGTTGTGTTGGGGGATTTGGGTCGTACTCTATACCACCACGGCGCTGGTGGTGACTGAGCTCTTTTGCCCTAGTGGCCTTGGTTCAGGGGTGGCTAACTTAAATGACATAATCTTGGTTGAACTCAAAAGCTCTCATACGAAGATTGCTCTACTGATCGAGCTCTGTCGTCCCAGGGGCCTAACAGCAAATAAGAGAACATCCAAGAACGGCAATTAACATGAACATGCACATGAGATGATGGTTTCCTTCAACATTTCATGTCTCGCCATCCCAGCCGTCTCATTCCTCATCGCATTCCTCGCCTATTCATCCCAATATATATTTCTATACATAGAGCCGTCCCCTCCAAGCAAGGACCAACTGATTAAATTCAATGCATTGGTAGCATGTCTCTGGATTTGTTATTATCGGGCATGTACAACAGATCCCGGCAAGGTGCCGGCTGGTTGGCAGCCACCTGTTGCAAAGAATGCCCTTGATACAAGAGGAACGGCGCGACAACGATGGTGCCAGCGCTGTGATAGTTTCAAGCCTCCTCGGGCCCATCATTGCAAGACTTGCCAGCGGTGAGTGATTTGCCCTTTACCAACCGTACACTATTTATGCCTTCTCCTATTTATTAGTATCACGACTAACGCTTACACGAAGATGCATCCCAAAAATGGACCACCATTGCCCGTGGACAGAAAATTGCGTTTCTCATTTTACCTTGCCCCACTTTATTCGCTTTCTTTTTTATGCTGTTGGTTCTATGACCTACCTTGAATACCTCCTCTATCCCCGCGTTGTCGTTATTTGGAACAACAGACATCTACCGAGTGTGAGTTGTCAGTGTCCCCATTGCTCTCTATATCCAACCAGATGATATGTCGCTTGCTGATACCAAATGCAACAAATCATGTTAAAGTATCTGGGCCCAAGCCTTCCACAGTTAGTTCATTTATTGTTGCTTGTTGTGCTTAATTCTATGGTTCTGTTCGCTCTCATAATCCTCCTGGCACGAACGCTTTGGTGTCTGGGCGGAAACACAACCACCATCGAGGTATGGGAAATCGAAAGGCATAAAACCCTTCTTAGAAGGGCCCGCATGTTTGGGGGCCATCTCGAGGGTCCTGGCGGCGTTCGTGTACGTATCCAGAAACAGGAATTCCCTTACGACATTGGGATCTGGCGCAATTTAAAATCTGGTATGGGGGGAAGCGCAAATGTCAGTCCATTCTCGTGATTGCATCAGACTATTTCGCACTCCCATATTCGGCTTCTAACTCACAGACATAAACAGATCATTGGTTGGTTTTGGCCTTTTGCTTCAACTCCATGTCAAGGCTCAGGACTAGAGTTCGAAGTTAACGGTTTTGAAGGTATGTGGGAGCCACAACTAATCCGAAGGGCTACTAGATATCCGATCTCATAGATTTATCGTGAATTTTTAACAATGGTGTTTAGAAAGCACCTTGTCATGGCCACCCCCTGATCCAGACCGAATGTATAAGCCGATGCCGCGGAACAACTATGGAAGCGATTTTACTCATGAACAAAACTATTTATCACAAAGTCAAGAGGTTGAAGCTTTTAAACTTCGCCAAAGAGAAGATTTCCGCCGCCAACAGGCTGCGTCAGAAGTACAACGTCGAAGGCCTTTCCACAAACGATATATGCAAAATGTGGGAATGACAGACTTCCCTGGCTTAAGTGAATCTGAAAGTGGGGAAAACTCCGATAGCGGTGAAGAAGGTTGGAGGGATTCAGAAGGTGATAGGCTTCGAGACTTCGGGGTTGATGAAGAGGTCGAATTTTATGATGAAGACGATATCCCACTCGCAGAGCTTCTTCGGCGACGAAAATCCCACACCAGAGCCTCGACGTGAGAAATTGGACATGTTTTTTGTTACTAAATCCGGCAAAGCTGGACGATCTCTTACATGTGTAGTCTCGATCGCTGCCAGAATCTAGAAATCCATCGACCCAAACTGGGACATCATGATGGATGAGTATCGCAGCTTCTGGACTTCGCATGTGGGTTACTTTACTCGCTTTTTCGATGTACCTCCCTCGATAGCTTCTTGACAGCGTCCTGTGAATGACAAAGTCGCTTTGGAAACTGTGCGTACGCATACGCTCCCGTTGCCTCAGAATTTGCAGTAAAACTCGTATGCACGTTCTATATACAAAAAAGAATACAATAGCAATGGGAAGAACGTATGCCACTTCACGCAATGCCAATGGATCAAGGAGACTTCGTCAAATTAACCTTTCTCTATTTCAAAGAGAACCAGGTCGCCAATATTGTGAGGGGATTTAAAACTCCATTCCGTCCCACCTGGAAAAGATGTAATCCGTGGGATTACAACTAAGCATACTTCATCCAAACAGAACCAGGTAAAAGCTGTTTTTTTGGGGGGGGGAGAAATTACCATGACGGGCCGCGAGCTTTTCCCATCTTGCATCCCCTCCTAAAACTGGCATTTCATCAATCGGTTTTCCAAATGATTTCACAGGAATCATGCGAGAACCAGTCTCACCCCTCATTTTCTGCAGCCTAAGCTTAGATAATTGAATGGGGACCTTCCTGGAAGTTTTATTCTGTCCCAACTTTCACTGCGACATCGTCCTGAGAAGCGAAGACGATACAAGTAGGTGAAGCTCCACATGACATTCCGTATTTTCTCACCCCGTTTGCTCCCGCAACTACTTGTATGATATGAATATTTTATCTTTCTACATTAACGCTGCACCCCTCTCAAAAATGACAAACTCCGGTGCCAGTGAGCCGGCTTACAAGAACACGGGAACAGCGCAACAAAGCAGCAGCAAATCGGGTCGATTTCCCACATGTGCAAATGAAATCTGCCAGAATCACGATGACTCTTAGGCAGTCGAAAATTGATAAAACTCCCGTAACCGCAGAGCGAAGGGAGAGATTGTTTCCCGCAAAACTTACGAGGAGCACGAATCAGCTAAGTTCCTGACATCGATATCTTAGCTACTTGATTTATACACTCAGAGAACATTTGTAGTATGTCTATTGAGCAGTAGACGCTTGCTTCGCCTCGCATCAGCACTGATCAATAGGTTAAAGGATAGAACTACTAACATCATCTATAGCAGGTCGGACGTTAGTCGCTCCAAAGAGTCACAGGAGAAACCAAAAGAAAAATGAAAATGAAAAAGAATTGAAGTGGTAGTTGCAACTTTCAAGCTGGAGCTTCTTGCGAATCCTAAACTGAAAAAACAAATCAATTCATAAGAATTTGATTGTTCACGACTGATGGATGAAATGTAAAATGTAAACCGCTTCAGAACCAGTGAGAAGATAATCGGTATGTTTATTTGTAATTGGAACCCAGGCAGAGATTTAGAGGGTAGGGTATTAATTCGAGTGTCACCCCCTCGGATTTGAAGAGTAGGATAGTGGATAGTGGGAGAATTGAATATTCCGAATTTGATAATCACTGATTTGTCGGAAATAAATGGATACAGCATCTAATCAGCTGGTTGTTTGCGGTTCCTAATCACACGAGACAAACAGTTTTCAACCCTTTGGATTACTGGCTGAGTGCATGACAATCGAGGAAAGCAACCTACAAAAGGAGACTTGTCAACGGTTCCAAGGCGGGAATTATATCTAATCCTTATCGACCACTGCATTGACAACTCTTGGGCATGTCTGATATCTTACTCACAGGATGAGTTCGAAATTCGGCCATCTTGCCGGAAAGTCACAAGCTAAGTTTCTGAGACCCCAGGATAATTCTGCACAGACAAGCGATACTTTTCAGGTCGAAGGGTTCATATGGTGGACTGACATGTGGCTCGTGGTTGGAACCGACACTGCGCTTTGAGCAAATCTCGAATTTCAGATTGTGGCCAACACTTATATTTATTGGTAGGCCTGATCATGATTCTGGGCATCCAGAATCAGAAATGCATTGCGAGACCATCAATTTTCACTCAAACCGTCAAAAATCATGCATTGATAATGTTCAGGACGTTGCTGGTCAAATGAATATTACCTTCCCCCACCACTATGTAAGCCCAGTTAACTTATCAACCTCAAGAACAGCCTACAATTGAGACAGAACCTGGTCCAACAACGGAAACGGGACCAAATAACGCAGGACTATCAGCTCACTCTTTATTTCCTTGTGGTACATTAATTGGAAATCCTCACCTCACGTCTGTTATTGTTCAGATTGAGAGCAAGCCAGGGATAAAATGGTTGTAGCATCAGACAACCTTACGTTAGGCGAATGTTGGTGAGACGCAAAGCGGTATATAAGATCTATTCTCATACACTTTGTAGCCCCGGGCTGCCATTTTTATCTGGAGATAAATATAAAGAGGGTAAAAAGACCAAAAAAAAGGAACAATGATGTACCTTTCCGGGAGGCACCTCAAAGCAACCTCCCCACCCAGTACCCACAGGAAGTCTGTGCTATCACACCAGTTTCCATGCAATGATTGAATAATGGGCTCATGTTAAGCCATGGCGCTAAGAATCCCAACCTGGCAACAGTGACCAGTGATAGGCAGAATCGAAGTGCTGCGGGCATGACTTCTCCCCGACAGGTTGCTCGTTCTGCAACTATGAATTATCCTGCCCTACTTCGATCCAAACCTCTCCTTCAAAAACCCTCCAATAACTCCTGCCGTCTCCTCCGCCTTCTCATAGATAATCCCCCAATGCCCACACCCGCCGACCTCCACCACAGTCAGATCCGGCAGCAAGCCCTCCTGTTTCGGCGCCTCTATCAACTCCGCCCGACACACCGCGTCACCAGGACACGCCACGAACAGCGTCGGCACCTTCAGCACCAACGCCTCCTTTTCCAGCGTCCTTTCTACCTCGAACGTCGCATTCTCCGACATGGCCCGATACCAACAGAGCGCCGGCGCAATGCCTCCCGCCTCCCTATCCGTCAGCCTCCTAACGAAGTCCTCCCAATACACACCGCCATGCCCAGCATAGTCCCTCAGCTTGATGTCCCCCGCCACTGCCTCCCCGTCGACAGTGCCGGCCGTCAAAAACGCCTCCGTCGCCCCCCGCTCACACAGGAGCTTCCGCATCCACTCCGGCTGTGGCCGCGCCGCATGCAGCAGCTCCCAGAGCCGTGCCGCATTCCCCTCCAGCAGCGCCGGCACGTCCCCCGTCGCCCGCGTCAGCAACTCCCAGTACGCCAAGATCGGGTTCCCGAACAGCTGTTCCATGAGCGCGTTCGTTTGGTCCAGATCGAAGGGCGTCGTCTGGTTGGGCGGCATGTACGCTAAGTTCAGCAGGGCCAGGCCCGCGACGCGCTCCGGGTGCCAGAGGTAGAGGCGGTTGGCTAGGAAGGAGCCCCAGTCGTGGCCGATGGCGATGACAGTGCGGGCGTCTTCGGCCGTGAGAAGCTCGGCGAGGTCGTCAGACATGGACTTGGAGTTGTACGCGGTGGGGTCGCTGGGGGTAGAGGTAGGGTGGTAGCCGAGGAGGGAGGGGATGATGAGGCGGTGAGGCAGGGAGAGGAGGTAGGGGAGGAGGGGCCGCCAGAGGAGAGGGCCGTCGGGGAAGCCGTGGAGGAGGAGGAGGGGCGGTGGGGCGGATGCGTTTTGCGACGGCGGCGACGGTGGCGGGGGTGAGATATAGTAGGAGTATGTGAGGGAGCGCGAGGTTGTGAAGGTCTTTTGCATGAGGGGGTCCATCTTCGCTTTGCTTTGCCGTTGCTGCTTCGTTTTTTATACTATCTGTTTATAGAGCTGGCGTAATGAAAATCGAGGGGAGAGTTGGATTTGTAGCACAGACTAGGTGAACGCCTATGCCTTCTTGACAGCGAACGTGTTTGTGCATTTATTTATACCCCCTCCATGATGCGAGGGCTCAGGAGTAGCGGGGCCCCAATGAAACTATCGTCCCTGTCGGTGCATTTCTGCCTCCACCCATGGTTTAACCCAGCTCGCCCTCGCATATCCGTGGGGTGACCGCCACCACGCCGAGAGCCAGCGTTGTTGTTGTCTGGCCCAAAAATAACCAGGGCAATGGACAATACCCCGAGCGATGGCATAATGTACGGCAGTGGGGTAGCAAAGGCATGCAAGGCGACGGCGATTAGTCGCAAGGTCTTATCTCCACAGTATCGTACGATCTAGCCAGCTGACCCATAGCCGTTTTGGATTCTACTACTCCGTATGGTGATTAGCTATACAGGTTATCGAGTCGGTGACTATTCGCGAGAGGGAGGAAGGGCGGTCTGAATTATGTACTATGTGTACGGAGTAGACTCTGCTGTGAGGCCGAGGGCTCAAGGGAGACTCGCTTAAATACAGTCATCTTCAGTAGTTAGCTATATTATTCTTTTTGTTTCGAAAGCCAGCAGTCGATATGTATGGGTCAAATTGTCTTCAATAGAGGCTGACAACGCTAGGCTAACGGCCGTAGGCGAATAGGTGAAGCTTTTATCTACTATTTTTTCCATTACTTGGTATATCTCTCCGAAAAAGTCACAGCTTGCTGACCCCGTCTGAGAGCTGGAAAAAAAGAGGAGAAGAGAAGCAGAGCTGAAAACTGAATCCTAGTGATTGTGTCAGTTTAATTCCCGTCAAAGCAATCATTGACCAAACTGGTGGCTCTCTTTTTTCCTCCTTGCTTACTTTTACTCTCCTTTGGTGCGTGTTTAGTGCTTTTCTAGTCTCCGTTGGATCTGCAAACGCATAATTCAGTTGGTTATTCCTCCTGCAGATGGTCTGATATATTTTTTGCTGGTTTGCTGTGGTGAACTGATAAGAGATTGTTGGAACGGTAGAATGTCCGAATATTGACCCAAATACCGAATATCGAATGAATAATGGATTAACTAAAGATCGCTCTGATAATTACATGATCAAAAGACAGTGTTTGTAAGAGGTGATGTGCGATTATGCGAGCGGGGCAGGATTTGTTGGGGGGAATGGATTGGTTCGGAGAGCTCTTTTGCCCCAGTGGCATAACTAACAGGATTTGGGTTTGGGTTTACAAAAGACAGGAGGTTAGTCATCAGATAACGCTTCCCCATTCTTATCAGATCTCCCCCTCACTCCACTCCCTCACTCACTCATTTCCCCCTTCATTTCTTCTACCACTCGATACCAGCAATCATGTTGCCCAACTAGAAACCCAGACGCCCTTTCATCCAAGTCAAATGTTCCAAGCACAGATACCCGCAAACACCACGCGATGCTCCCCGCTCGCGTTAAACCCCTGCACAGCCATGACCTCCTCGCAACCACCGCTATCTTGACCGTCGAAGATGCCCAGGCATCCTCTCCCACCTCCGCTGACGACGCTGAGGACATTCTCACAAGCTTTCTCCCACACCTCTACCCCGACGAAGCGCCATTGTGCCTCGGGGACCCAGGCAAAACGGTTTTGTATACCTCAGGCGTGTGGGGCGATGTGACCGTTATGGTTCCTGGCTATCCCAAGGGAAGTGGGGAGGAGGTGGTGGAGGAGGAGGAAAGACCCGATAAGGAAGAAGGCGTTGAGGCAGGAAGACGACTCTTTGCGCATTATTTGTGGGGTGGTGGGCTAGTTGTTGCGGACGGGATAGAGCGTGCGGTGAGGCATCTGGCTGGAGATGGTGCTGGCGAGGAGAAGGATTTGCTCTGGAGTGTGAAGGGGGAAAGGGTTTTGGAGCTTGGTGCAGGTAAGTTATGTTTGAATTTGAATTTTATTTTATTTCATTTTTCCCTTGGTGTAAATCTCTGTTCCTAGGGCTTTAAGGTGGGGGGGGGATACGAATATATTTTTTCTTCCATTCAAATTCATCTTTTTTTGCATGCTGCTCTGTAGGGATAGCACCAGGTTTATATATATATGTATGCTATGTATAAATTTGCTTTATTCCCATGTTCGCTTTTTCCCATATGTGATACGATGATAGTAATATTGGAAAAGAGAAGCGGAAACTTCCATACTCCACATTCAAATTCCGGCCCCCCTTTCCCCTTTCCCCTTTCCCTAGATTTATCCCAAATGAATTCCAATTCTTCACAAAACCCCCAACTGAAAAGCCAGCATGCTCAATGCAATACCAGGTGCGGCTCTCCCGTCACTCGTAAGCGCTCTCGCCGGTGCCGCCCAAGTCACCATAACAGACCACCCCTCCTCTCCCGCCCTCTACGGTGCCATCCAAGCAAACATCGCCAATAATATCCCCTTACACCTGCAATCCAGGATATCCGTGCAATCGCACGAATGGGGCGTGTTAGGTTGCGATGCAGTATCTTCCCAGGAAAGCAGAACCCAGAACCCAGAGACACAGGCTGCTTCAATATCCGCTGTAAAGGACCAAGGGTCGTACACCCGGATAATTGCGGCGGATTGTCTATGGATGAGAGATCAACATGAGAAACTGATACGGAGCCTATTGTGGTTTCTTGCGCCACCATCACTGCCTTCACCGCCTTCGTTGCCAGATGGAGATGGAACCAATGGAGCAGCTCGCGGAGGAGTAGCTTGGGTGGTTGCCGGATTCCATACTGGAAGGGAGATTGTTGCATCATTCTTTGAAACGGCAATGGCAATGGGATTGCTTGTGGAGCAGATATGGGAACGAGACGTCAATGCCACTAGTGAGGAGGGAGTGGTTACGAGGGAGTGGATGCCTGTACGCCCGGGAGAGGGTCCAGAGAATAGGGCTAGATGGTGTGTTGTCGCGTTCTTGAGGAAGGGTTTAAATAGCTAGTGCCTTGAGTCTTGAATATAAAACACATGTCATGGCCTCTACATGATGGGAATATTTCGATTTTATGTCAAGAGCCCTACAGTATCACAGATCTGCTCATGGATTTCATGTCCGTATCGTTCATGTTTCTTTATCCTCTGTTTCCACAACGCAACATCCCGCAGGCGTTGAAATCCTTCTGAAAAATCCGCCAACGTCAGCTCCCGCACACCCTTCTAAAGCAAACCGTACACACTCCCTGGCCCTCCTGGCCCCCAAAACGGAACTTCGGATACTCAACCCGGTCCCAAACCACCAGTCTATCCCCGCCCTCGTTCTCTCCTGCCTCCCTCCTCGTGAACCACCTAATCAACTCCTCCTCGGTCCAATTACAACTCGTCACAACCAAAAACCCCTCCCTTCGTACCAACCCCCTCACAATCTCCGGATACCGCTCACACATCCTCTGCACCACCCGGGACCGTTTCGTGGCCACATTCTTCTTCTTCTCCTCCTCCTCCTCCTCCCCCCTTTTCTCCCCCGGTCCCCCCACCGTACCCACATCCACCGCTATCTCCTCCGCAGAGAGCGAAATGGCATCGAACGTTCCCTTGTCCAGGACGATGTCGAATCCACCCTGCGCGACAGGGAACCAATCTAACTCCTCCACAGCCCGCTTGTCAAAGACGTCCCACACCTCGAAGCGGATAGTAGATGTAGCAGTTGTAGAAGTATCCGCCCCGCCCCCGCCCCTACCCCGTCCGGGAGAGCCATGGCGTAACTGCCTCGCCAACTCGATGCTCTTGGATGAATAATCAACTCCGACCATCTGGCCGCCCGTGAAGCCTCCCTCGTCGCGGAGGAGGGCGAGCATGCTGCCATTGCCCGTTCCGAGGTCGAGGATAGTAGGTTGCGGTTGCGGTTGCGTATTATTATTCTTGTTGCCATTATTATGAGTATTACAGGGGGCCAGCGGGAAAGATTCGGAGGTGAGGAATCTCAAGACCTTTTCGGGGGCGTTGTGTTCCGCGAACCAGGATGTACCGGGGTCGCTGTCGTCGTCGTCGTCGTCTTCTTCATCTTCACCTCCATCTTCATCGCTGACATTATCTTCGTCACATTCTCCCTCTCTTTCTCCGTCTTCTTCTTTTTCCTCTTTGGCTCTTCCGTTGGCGTTCTCGTCTCCGTCTCGGTTACCGTACTTGCGCCCTGCGCGTCGCTTCCAGGAGAGGTGGGATAGAGAGTTCTCGTAGAATGATTCCCAGCTATGTCCGTGTTACAAAGGAATTGCAATTCATATCAGCGACTGTTCCAGGAAAACTTCCACCATGCCAGCATTATAGGCGACTTCGAGGGGAGAGAAAGGGCTTATTCTTGATGGCAGAAACCCAACCCCCCTCCCAAAAAAGAAAAAAAAAAAAAAAAAAAAAAAAAAAAGTGAAAAAAAAGTGAAATGAAAATCCGCGCCTACTTACTATTCCTTCGTGCCCAATTGGCTTGGTTCCAGGTGTGGTGGATGATCACCAACACCTCCTGTTTGAGCTGGAACTGACATCATGTTAGGTGATTGTTGAGACGGGAATATATACGCAAGCAACGGGATTGATTTTCTCGTCACACTTACTCCGTAGTTTGACCCCACCAACAATCGACGGCAGCTTTTAGGTTTCGGGGTAGGCGGTTCTCGGAGTGGCTTGAGTGGGGCTTTTGGCTAAAAGTGTAGGCGATGGCGGCCCTATCGGACGCTGTTGAGTTAGTCATGGCTAAGGCTCACAAGCCCTAAGCCAACTATTTTGAGTGAAATATCAAACTCAGCAGATATCAACTATATTGACTATACATATTTTTATGGTGTATTTTATATATATTTTTAGCATTTAATATATAGTTTTAATATCTGATTGCATTGTTGAGATGTCGTAGAAATTAATCACTTTGTCGAATTTTAAATTGGTAATCGTTAGGTGGGAGCGATTGTTAGATCGGTGATCACGTTAGGTATATGGTGCAAGACAGTGCATTTATGTATGATACCTTTTGATGGCAGAAAAGTAGTTGAGGCCCAGTACAAGAGCTTTAAAATTATTTTTATAATACACATGAATCTCTATTGTTATATCAGCAGTGATTTCTATCTATTTAACTGTTCATTCATCTCTTCAACGTAGTTATTTCTGTTTTACCTTTATATCATCTTTATAACTTCAATAACCATATATATAGCTCTATTCTCATAAGAGTTTCTACGTACCAACCCAACATATTGTGTTGCTCTCGCTTAGATAGTCAACAATGACACAACAATGTTATCCTTAGACAAATTCTCTTCGAAATCAGCAGCAAGGTCCCACTCGCTGCAAACTCAGTGTAATTGGTTGGCCTTCTCATCACCCTGTTAAAGCAGTTACCGCGTGTCGTTATGCTGCGGCTGGCGGTCCACGCCCGCTGTGGGCCGGGCCACACCACCACACCCACGGGTATATATCACTATGAGCGCAACCATTTAACAAATAGTTACGTTGGCTTTTTGCTATGGATAACCTAGTGATCATAGTGCTATCTTATCACACAAGACATTTAAATGTGCAGTTAACTCTTGCTATCCTGCTTTGAATAGATAAATTACTGTATGCATTTTGTAAAAAAAAAAAAAAAAAAAAAAAAAAACAGTTAAATGTATATATTTTTCATTCATCATGAGTTCAGCTCTTTCAACCATTTTCAATCTGCTTATAATTGCCATAAGCTTGATTCCAGCAACCAGCAATACTACTTTATCATCAGGTATAAGCATTTCTGCCTTTTTCCTTTTTTCTTTCATGCTTTTTCATTTTTTCTTTCATCATAATTTTCTATATTTGTTTCAAATATGCTAGTAATATATATTCTAACTATTGTGACAGAGTTAAACATGATTATTATTAAAAGAGAAGTATTAAATATGCTTTACAGTATAGAAACTGATACCAATGGGATTTTACATCTAGCTGATGATGGTATACTGCAATCATTCGATGAAACTGGCAATGTTATTGACTATAGAAGATTAAATAATAGTCATTTGAGAGCTATTGCTAGCTTGTATTCAAAAGATATTAATGATTATTTATTAAATATATGGAATAATATTGATGGCTTCGAGGTTGAAGAGAGGGCAATTTGACATTCATCTACGGATCTTTATCCTCTTCCACTTTTACAGAAGAGTCAAAGCATATGTTCTTCAATAACACATCATTCATTACTACATCGGATTGTATATTGTGCTGATGTTCACTGTACTGGGCATACAACATGTAGAAATGTGGATTGTGAGCTATGTATCGTAGTGGATAAGGTAGCAAGTGGTAGATGCAGTTTTTATTAAAACACTGTGGCGGACATAAAGCCTACATAAACAGAATTTTCCCTCCCCCTATTGAAAATTAGTACCAAAACATCGCAAACTAGCTTAAATATCCAGCCTTTTGTTGAAATCCCATAGAGTGTTTGTGAGCTTGGTTATCTGAGTCTATCTAGTGGTTAAGTTATAGTTAACGTGACTCACAACGAACTCCAAAAAGCGCTCTATAGAGCCGTTAATTTTCAACTGTAGCACAACAATGCAAGAAGATATTAATATTATTTATTAAAAATTAAAACTATATGTAGAATACATCATATAAATATATATGATTAATTCAGAGAATGATTGCTTGGCCTAATAATCTGCCGGAACGTGAAACTCGTGGTTTTGAAACGGTTGAATCGGATCGCGGCGTAGAAGGTTTCAGAGAAGGAATATCATTTGATTCCACTGGGGGGGCCTGCGTGCGGCACTTATTACCGCTTTTAGAAGGTTGTATAGAGCTTCTACGGTGTTTTGAGCCCACTGTTGATCTTCTTGTAGGCCTCTTTGAGGCCTCCGCGAGTGCCTTCTTTGCCAACTGTGCTTCATGATGTTTAGCAGCATGTTCTTCCTTCTCTTTTTGCAGTTGAAGCTTCTGTTCATCTCGCCGTTGCTTCTCTATACAATTTTTAGCTGCAGCTGCAGCTTTGGCCTCTTCACGGCGTTGAGCAGCTTCTAAACGTTCCTTCTCACGTTGTTCCTTCCGCTCCATGAGCTCTGCCTGCTTTTGCTCACGAAGAACCGCTCGTTGAAGCTTCATATCCTCCTTGCGTGCCTGATCATTGATTTTCGCAGTTTCATTAGCATCTGCTTGCTCCCTCGCGGCCTGCACCTTTGTGGGAGAAAAGAATTGAGCAAGTGAGGGATTTGATGGATTAAGCAACCCCATATGCTTACCCCGTTTGCGTCGCCTTCTCTCATTATTTAGAGCAGTCTGAAGATTCTTATTCTCTATTAAGAGAACCTCTCTGTCCAGAGCAATATTCTCCCCAGCGCGGAGAATTTTTTTAATATCAACTGAAAGTCGGCGGTGACGTTGACTTGCCTGCTTTATCAGGCCTTGCAAAGATCGTATAGATGTAGGTGTACGCTGCTGAAGCAGTTCCGGGGGTGTAAGTGGACGTGGTTGAATCTTTTTGAGAACGCGGGCAGGATCTATAGGATGTATGCCAGTGGTCATGAAGGCAGATTTGATATTTTCCGCAGTTGTAGAGATTTCCCATGCAGCACGAAATAATCGCCAAAAATCTCACTTTGTAGTCTGAATAAAGCCATAGCCAGAACGTGTATAGGAATCTAGTTGATCTGAATATGCCTTTGCAAGTGGGCCAAATATTCCAACATCTAGCGGCTGTAAACGGTGTGTAGAGTGGGGAGGAAGAATAGCAAGCAAAATTCGATTCTGATCCGCATAATCAATGAATGCCATATTTATATGAGATGAATGGCCATCTAATATAAGCAGGCGGTAATGATTTCTTGCTTTTTGCTTTGTATGAGGATCAAACACCTGTTTCAGCCAGGTTAACCCATATTCATCATTACTCCATCCATTTTCTGAAGCAGCGAAGTATGCCTGATCCTTTTTAGGATCAAAATCTTCAAGCCACGTATCTTGCATATCTCTTGATTCCCTGCGGTAAATGAGTGCAGGTGGAATTGTAGTTCCATCTGCACAAATACTGGCAAGCAGAGAAATGAATTCTCTACTGCCATCCTGCACTGCTCCAATTGTATGCTTCTGTTTGAGAGCTTCTATAGAAACGATTCGCTTGAGGGTATGAAGGAGGCCAAGAAGAAAGCCTTTTTCATCGAAATTGTAGGTGTTCTGGGGTAGGATATTATACTGCTTGATCTTCTCCTGCAACTATTCAATAGAAGTCAGCAAAAAGCTCATGGAATTGCATGTGAAAAGAAGCAAAAAAACTGCAATTACAAGAGTAAAGAAGTGTTCAAAATAGTAGCTATTATCTGCCTGCTTTCTCTTTTGATCCAGAGCACGAAGATAGATGCTCTTGATCTTTGCTTTATGCCGCTCACAAAAGTGAGACACTCAGTTGATTCCTACTTGCATTTTGGTGATCTCAAATACAAAATTGCGCAGTATTTGAGGTGTCACAGGGAAGCCGCGATCGGATAACAGATTAATATGAAATAGGAGGCGTTGTTCTTCAGTATTTGTGAGATTCTGACAGTAGATTGATGTTGCCTCTGTTCTGGAGACCTGTTGACCTTTGAACCGCCGCATCAAGGTAATGCGATTGATTCCGAATTCCTTTGCAACCTCAGCATATTTAGGAATCAATTGTCGATTCAATTGAGCGATCGCTTGCTCTATAATTGCTTCGTTGGGTGGCATGGTGGGTGGTTGAAGTTGAAGAGTTGCAGGGATTCATGGAAAAAATAGGAGTTCGTTGGGTGGATGAGTTCGTTGGGTGGTTGAGTCACGTTATGCTTATAATTATTGGACCGGCCCGAAGCGGTTCCGCATCACAATCTTCGAATGCTAAGGGAGTGAGAGAAACTGCACCTCAAACCACCGGTTACTAGTATCTATTGACAACCACAAGGGTGATTGCTGAAGTTACATGATTTTAAGTGAGGGCTTACTTTCCGAGGCGAATATGGGATGGATTCAATGGACATCTTCGCTCTTTGGAACAGTGGATGTGCTAGACCTCGTTCGGGGCTTCTTTTTGGTTATGGCTAGCACAGTACGAAGCCATGCCATACCCTGTAGCAACAATTTGCCCGTTGATGGACTCACTGATCAGTCTCTAGATTCTTCTTGCAAACAGTATCCCAATCGTTAGCTCTCGTTTCGTTGCTTATGGCCCAAGAGCCACGTCGTCGGAACCGGCAAAAGCTTCGCAGAATCGGGAGCAAAATGACCACACGGTGTCCAAGCTATACCCTTCGTCAAGGGTCATGCAAATTTTGGACTTGGTAGCATCATTGCGGGTGCCCCACAGCTTCTTTACTCATTTCTATGTGTTATCGGTGCTATCTTCAATTCTATGGGGAACGCAAATATATTTCAAAGGGCCGTTGTTTGAAGCGATATCCTCCACTGCTAGAGAAGGGAATACCCAAATATCCATGTCACGCAATCAGATAGTTCTTTGCTGGACATTGTTGTTAATTCAAGGTATCCGTCGACTGTACGAATCAATTTTCATAACAAAGCCATCCCAATCGAAAATGTGGTTTCTACACTGGATCATCGGGCTGTTGTATTACATTGCGATGGGGACGGCTATTTGGATCGAGGGATTACGTATGTGCAGATTAAATTATCCATTTTCGGCCTCTTGAGTTCTCCGTTTAACTGAGATTCGATCATCTAGCGGCGATACGTGCATCTGATAACATACTCAGCGATGTACGATATTCCACCCCATCATTGAGGACGTTCGTGTTTCTTCCCATTTTCATTATCGCTTCTGGAATTCAACATGATTGCCATCTTTACCTAGCTTCGTTGAAAAAGTACACCCTTCCTTCTCATCCAGGCTTCCTCCACATCATATCCCCTCATTATACGGCCGAGTGCGCGATATACTTGTCGCTCGTTTTCCTAGCCGCGCCGAAGGGAGTGCTTGTCAACAAAACGTTGTTGTCGGGACTGGTATTTGTCGTTGTTAATTTGGGTATCTCTGCTGGCAATAGCAAGGAGTGGTATATGAGAAATTTTGGTAAAGAAAGCGTGAAGTACAGGTGGAAAATGATACCCTATTTATATTAGATCCGCAGCCACGAAAGACGAAATCTGGAACCTAGCTTTTCGTGGATATATCGGCTGGAGAGTACGGCTTTTCAGCGGATTGCTGTTTTCCTAGAAACAAAGGACTCACAACTCATTCATCACAGCGAAAGCAATATCAAATTCGATTCTTTGGGAATGAAGTCCTAGTTGATTATTATTATTGTCAACCCAAGAATTCATACCATTTCCCAAGCTTTAAGACATTGAGCACATCTCGGATAAGTCAGACTTATTCTAGTCTCCCTTTCATAACTTCCAGTTTACAAATGCTTCTTTATCCCCCAACAGTTCCCAGTTGCAAATAGTTAGTGGATTCAAATCCGCGTCCACCATCCGTTCATCAATCCCATGCAAGTAATCCGTGTACAATCTCCCTGTCGTTACCAACAAACTTCGCCTTTCTTGCAATATTCTAAAATGCGATGCTCCCATTCCCTCGGACCCTTCAAGTAGCAAGTGAACACGATTTACCAGTTTCTCACTCATCTCTAACACTATCGGTGCTCCCAAACTCACAGTCGCGACTACGGGATAGTAGGCGGGCCCGTCTTCGTGACGCATGATGCCTTGGCCCAGGTAGATACTCATTGATAAGTACATGATTAGGAGCTTTGTGAGGCGAATTTCGAAAGACCTCAAGCTCCGTAAATCGGGAAGTAATAGGCGAAATCAACCATTGTGGGAGGGGAGAGGCTAAAAGAGTGTTGGATTTGCTCAATGCACATGGCCACGATTGAAGACGTCGCCGGGAAAGATATTTCCATCGTGGGATGGGAACGGATGTGATCTTCAAGGCTATTAGTACTATTAACCATGCCAGGATCTATACTACTCTTGCACAGGATATGAAAAGGAAGGAAATTCAAAACACACTTAGAACCCCAGAGAGAGGTCTTCACTAGGTTTCGCTATGAGCTATATTTACATTATCTCCAATTTTTGATTTAAACATAGGCTTACCTTTTGAAGCAGCTGCTCTTCCTCGTGCTGTGTTATAAATTCAGGAATATAATATGCATTTTCAGGAATTAATTCTATTCTAGCTTTTTGCAGCTCCTCAATTGCTTTGCCGCATGCACTCGTATCTTGTTCGCCTGCCATCTCATATCTGACGGCTACGTCTCTGGGGGTGCTGTTTGTGAAAGAGCGCTTGTTGGACGAATATATAAAACTGAAGTTCGAGAGGTAGAGTGGTTATTGAAGTTGTGGAACGGAAGACTATGGTTTTGTCGATTGTGATGTTGGAGTTTTGATGTTGATATAAATAAAGCACACACCCCGCCCTTAACCTCACCACCTCAACCTCCAGTTATCTCACCACCTCAACCTTCATAACTTGAGGTTGAGCTTGACATCAAAGTTCAACAACGCTTCTCGGGCAATATTATTCTGTCATCTCAATATTCATATTTCGACCGTAATATCTCGAATTTCAAACGTCATATCCGCGGGAGCGCTTCCATTCATTGGGCATATTCCACTTTTGTTCACAGCGATGGCCAAGGGCAACGCCAAAGACTCGGGTGCGAAAGGAAAAGGCAAAGGCAAGGCGAAAGACAGTGCTAATTCCGATGAGGGAGGCAAAGGCAAAGGGCTAAAGCCTGCAAATTCCATTAATGTTCGACATATTCTTGTAAGTATCTGATCTTTGCGCCTTTTAGCTTTGGGCATTGTATTTCATAAACTGTGAAATGAATACATTCAGGATATCATCGTTCCATGGCTAAATGATTTATATTTTAATCCATATAAATGCTTGCTAACTAGCTGTTCCTGTGGGTTAGTGTGAGAAACACTCCAAAAAGGAGGAAGCTGCTGAGAAGCTGAGAAACGGGGCGAAATTCGATGACGTTGCACGAGAATTTTCAGAGGATAAAGCTAGACAAGGTTTGTCTCAATTTCATTTTGTTGTCCTTCATTTACGCCTTCAATGCTCTGGCTCGTTACCCCAACATACTCCCATCTTTATGCCCTCAATGTATCACATCTTTCACGCCCCTGGATCACGTGCGAGAGATAGGATGTTGTTGAGGCGCCCACGTATCCTCAGACTCACAACTTGATTTATCTCATGGTGTCTCGTTGTGGCTACATGCTTGAGAAGTGGGAGACGTCGAGGGCTTTGAGAAATTTTTGAAATTCGGCCAATATGGTCAAAGAGAAAAAGAGAAAAAGAGAAAGAAAAGATTAGCCCTCCTTTCTGACATGGTGCGAAATAGGTGGATCTCTTGGCTGGAAAGTTCGAGGAAGCCTTAATGGCGAGTTTGAAAAAGTTGCATATGGGCTAGAACCCAGTACAACCGCGAATCCAAAATGGGGGGAAGTGAAAACGGGATTTGGGTACCATATTATTATGGTGGAGGGGAGAAAGTGACAGGTGAATAATGTTGCATCCCTCAAGTTGAGCAAATGGAAGGAACAGTTAAGTGGTCTGTGTTATGTCCTTCTCCAAAGACAGGCGGGGGAAATGGTCATCTACTTGAGCATGATATCATCTTTTTTTTTCCTTTTTGTTTTTTATTTTGGTCTGTGAACTCGAAGGTATGTTGGTAGGAGGAAATAACTGAAATTGATTAGGAGTTTGGCGTTGTGGGAATGACCAAGTACTCCTCAGTCAAGAGATTTTTCTGGCGAACATAGGCGTAGGCTACCGCCTTTTTCTAATAACCCAATACGA